AAAATGCAAATGGAAATTAAAAACGGTGAATTATCCGAAATAATCTGTAACTGGCGATATTCAGTTTGACTGAAGTCATTTAAATCATGTTAAACCGTTTACAGTGAGCATGCGACAGATGATTGGCGACCGTATATTGCTTGAGGAAAATGTGTATGAAACGATTGTAGATTATGACATTTTGAACTAATACTTTTTGATCATGTTTAATAATAAACAATACACATCGCTAGTGAAACTGACATGAAAAAAAAGAATTTGTTTTGTGTGACATCGATTTGCTATGAACCGGAGGAAAGGTGAATAATCTTTTTCCTTGTACTGTAATTGCGTACGACAAAGAAAACATTGTTCTCCTATAATGTGATCAACGGAAAGTGTGTCAAAAAGTCGGTAAAAGGGAAAGGAGAGAAAGAAGAAGTGTCTGATACGTATTCCAAAATTTAGAATATTATTGAAATCTGATATATTTTATAAAAAGAAATACCTGAAATTTCGAGCACATTTTAAAGAATTACTTCCAAGGATTTATGTTAGATCGTGTAAAAGAATTATTTTTGTTTGAATAATCACTTTTACATTATACTTTAATTGGTAACTGGTATTTTGGTAAATAAGCCGTAGATTAGAAAGATCACATAAAGAATAGCTATAATACTTGAAAAATGTCAACTGAGAGCTCAAAAATCATCATAGAAGAACAGAGCAGTATGAAGAACTGTTATAAAGAAAAGGTGTGTTACCGCCAAAGTTTATCACAAGATAAAGTTTTTTTGGTAATTAATAATATTTTTCCAATGTAACTATTGAATTTGTTTGTTTGTTTGTTATTTGTTTTTCTATTCTTTTTGTGTCAAAAGCCCTTCCCCACACGAAAGTATTAAAATGGGTTGCTTTACAGGAACCTATACCCTGTATGCTACTGTGCCTTCTCTATCAATTAATTCGACATCATCTATGAGAATATCTTAATAAGAAATAAAATGTTGTTGCTCTTCTCTAACTTAAACAGACATAAATCAACTGGCTGAACGAGATCGTGAAAACGTCTAAACAAGTAATAGTCATTAATCATTCGGCACCTTTACGAACTTTATGGGCATATAAATGCGCCGTTGTACCGTCATCAAATATGAGTTGAAAAAAAACCAAGAGATTGATCTTATAATGTGAAATTTTTTAGCACTAATAATGCTGATACTGAACGGAATTCATTGTAAGCAATCTACCACTTATCGTTGCGTTGGCAAATGTGAATTCTCGTTAGGGTTCGATACGTCGTTTCAATTACCTGACAGTTGTGGGGCCGGCGAATAGAATCCCGTGTGTGAATTTAACATGATAATTCACTTTGATCAACGAACGATTGATTTTCAATTTCTTTCGTATGCCAATGAAACAGTCCTGCCTCCGCTGATCACTGACTTACTCATCTATCGTGTGAACATGACAATGTATTCGGCTATTTCGATGAATGTCGCATTTATTTACAATTGTCTGACAGTAGATTACTGTGATCTATCTATTGCTAAACAATTTATCAGCAATCGGACTGTGTATAAGGCCGCTTTCAATCGTTCCGTTGCACTTTTGTTTAATTCCAACTCTAGCAACGATCAAAATCAAACAGTTTTGTGCTATAATAACACGGAATGCGCTGCCTGTCGAGTATATCAGTTCATTCTTGTAGATGCAACGCATCTGTCGTCATGCATTCCTTACTCATCGATATCTTTAACAATTACTTATCAATTCGTACTGGCCACTACCATACAGTTGGTATTTGAGTATACTTGTAATATCGACTACTGTGATGCTAACCAAATGGTCAATGACGTAAAACAGGTTGTTCAAGATTTGTTGATCACTTACGATCAGAACATGATTCATTCTACGCTTCTTCATCCTGAATCAAGTCTGTCTACACAAACAAGTATGTTGGAAATTTTATCGTCAGCAGCGGTAGCCAATACATCAACAACTACAATCACAACAACATCTACAAGCAGAGTTGCTATTACAATAACTGGTCGTAGCTGTTGTCGCCCCTCCTTTGAGCATCAAAATACGTTTTATATTATTAGCGTAATACGCTAATAATAGATATATTATATCTTTTCCTACAACAAAGGGAGAAGAAAAAATATCTGGATCTCGATGTGTTTTCTCTCTCTCTCTCAATAATTTTTCTTTTTCTCTTAAATGCGTGCGTGCTTGAACACATTTAGTTGTCACACTTTTATCGAACTTTGGTTTCAGATATTGAGAGTGCCGTTCATTTCATACCTCTCATCAGTAACGATGTTGAGATGTTGTTGGTTATTTGTTTTAGAACATCGATGTCATCTGATACATGCAGTCTGACTTTTCTTATCTCGAACGAAGACAAGCCCCTCTTGGTGATTGATAACTTCACATACAAAATGAACAAAGAAACAGTATCTAAAAACTATTGGGTGTGTTAAAGCAACGGATGCAAAATCTCTGTACACACCGATATTCAAAACATTTTTTAAAAACTAGTGGAGATCACACTCATCTATGTGATCCAGAAGATCTTGAAACAAAAATATTTCTTAAAAATGTGAAACAACGTGTTATACTCGAAACCACACCAATAATGAAAATATAGGAAGCAGAGGTTATTAAATCTCAACTTTACGATCTTTAGGTTCTCTACCGCTATCATCATCATTCTTTTCTCCTTCTTTCTCAGGTTTTCCGTGTGTGTTTGGTCTCATACCAGGTCGTAAAAAGTCGACGTGTCAACAATTATCCAAAAGTAATACAAGATTTGGCCATTTCGATGAATCGTACATTTAAACCAGATCGTATATTGAGCGATTTTGAATTGTATTATCTTTTGAGTATAACTTTTTTGTTTAATTTCAGCGATGGCTAGTAAAGTAATTACTCTACAACATCCTTATCGAGCTATACCTGTTCTTTCTGAATTTAGTTTCCTCAGGTTGTACATACCGACTGCTTCTTTCACTACACACAAGCCATTTATCGACGTATACAAATTTTAGGCTTAACAATAGCTTATCCACAGAATGATGAAATTCGAATTTGTAGTCGTAAACTTTTGGCATCAGCACTACTTCCATTGGATAAAATCGAGTGGAAATTCCATGATTTATGTACAAAACCACCAGCAACAGTGAAACAAACGTTACATCAACTGTTTCTTTACTTTGAAAAACAATGGATGACCGATGTACCATTAGAAATTTGGAATGTGCATGGATACAGTTATCGTACAAACAATAACTGTGCAGATATGAGTGTCTCCGGCCCTTTTCCATCAGTTTATCATCTATCTTTTCAGGTTTTCATAATCGACTAAATCAACGTATACAAAAATCGCATCCAAATATTTGGAAGTTCATAAAATGTCTTCAAAACGAAGAAAATCGATTTCGTCACGTTCTTCTTCAAATGAATGCTGAAGCTCAAGCTAGACCTAAATCAGCAGCAACAAGTTCAATTCAGAAAAGAATCAACACACTCAATTAGCGTTATAACAATGGTGAAATCAATGTCGATGAATTACTTGATGGCTCATCACTAATTGTAGCCAAAAAAAAGAGATAAACATCAAACATTTATTGTTACTGTTGTCGTTATTCTTATTATTGTTGTTATTAACTTTATCTTTAAATTATTTTATTTTTAGTCTACTATGAATCTTGAATTTTACGTGCAATAAAAAATGTCATTCCAACTATTCTAGACTGTCTACTTGAATTTTTTTCCGCAAACATTTCTCAATTCAGACGTATTGCACTTGGGTGTTATCCACTCGTTTGCGTACATTTGGATCCGATTGTTCCTGATACGAGGAGCTGGCCCGTGCTACCAAGATCGAGATGGTTATACGCCTGCACACTATGCGATCGAGAAGGACGATACTCTTTTCAGCACAGAAATTGATCGAATTCACGCCAATTGTCTAAAAGCATTAACAGTAGAAGAGAAAAATGGTAAGGTTTTAGTACTTATATATTGGCACGTGCTTAATTGAACGGAGAGTTTTGTTTGTAGTATTTCGATTTTGAAATACTACAAATAGAGAATTACAGGAAGAAGACATATGCTAAAATTGGTTAATAAGTAAAACAAAAGTCTTTTAGCATGCAGAATGGAAACGATGTTTGTCGGAATATCGGCCTCGAACATAGTGAGAAACATTGTTAAGTTATAACAATAAAATGTGAAAGAAGTCACATCATCCCGGTTGACTTCCATTGATATGATAAGTAAACATCTGACTAGATTCAATTGGACACGAACACACCTATTGAGTGTCTATTGTAAATGGATATCATTTCTTCGTAATATAAATCTACGGACATAATTATTGATACATGTACAAACGAATTGCTACTGACCAGAGCTCCGTATGGACTCAAAATTCAGAGTCCAGAAAAATCTGGTCCAGTCCCGTCCGAGTCTATGAAAAACAGTTTTTTTCAGTCCATGGACTACTCTAAGTCCATTCCAGTCCTCAATACAAAAGCAACATGTTTTTTATTGATTATTCCTAGATTCAAATGAACTCAAAACTTTTTTTTTAGAGATGATCTTGGAAATCTGAGTCCAGTCCGAGTCCACGAGCTCAAAAATTTTCAGATCAGACCATACAGAGCTCTGCTACACACTACATGACATACATCTGAATAAAAAAAATATTTTGAAAGTAAGTGTAAATTTTTTTCTGAACTATTAAAGTGTTGCACTCTTCAATATTGAGGAGCAGTTAACTTCTTATTTTTGATCTAAAACAAGTGAAGTATGATATTGTAATGAACAATTTGAAATAGCAGAACTGTGTCGTTTGAACGAATTGTGTTTTACGCTGTCCTTTGCCTTGCGTTTTACGCTGTCCTTTGCCTTGCGTTTAGTTGCATGTTTAGTGGGCGGAATAGAATCATCACTGATTAAATTTGCGTTAAAATATAGGAAGCAACATGGACACTGAATCTCAGATTGTTCCGTCACTGGAATATAAAAAAGACCGTTGTGCATGCATATAATGTTACATAAAGTGTACAAGTTAAATAAACGTGCAACCTACCTATATGTTTTTGCGTCTCTAAAATGAAGAGATTTATATTAAAACTATATGGACTAAAATAGAGCAATAAAACCTACGTTTTTGGTCTGAATCGGGTGTACCTAAAAAAGAATATCAAATATACCAATCAGTTTTAAAATAGAAAGCCTTAATCATTTTTTGTTTTTACTTGACAGTATTTTCTACGGAAAACCCAAAAAAGGGATAGGATACCGTTAATAAGTCAGCATCTATCTGAATTGCTGTTAGATTTAGGTGCTGATCCCAAATTCGATATTTATCAGTGTTGATTTGGGTTTGGATGTATGAGAACCAAATGTAGAAGGCCTCTGGAGATATGTCTTAAACTCCATGATGAAGAGATTCTGATCTGTACATATAGTAGGGCATGTCGAATTACCAATAGGAATAAGTTTTCCGACATTGTTCTTCCAACTTCTTCCTATACGCAATTCGACATATCCTATTCTCTACACAGATCAGAATCTCTTCATCGTCGATTTTAAGACAGGCGTCCAGAAGCCAGGTTTCCATAGATCCATCACAGAAACCCATATCAAAACAAATGAATATTAGATTTGGGATCAGCATAAAAAAATACGCATAATCAAGGAGGTTTCAATGTAAAAGCGATAAATTACTTGAGGACCTTCCCTCGTTATGATATTAGCTAACTGAAACGTCTTTTCTATGTTCAGAATAGACATAAATATTTTAATTGGAAACGAAATATACACTTTCAGTATAAAGAACAAACCTTCAGTCATAACATTGGAGAATACAGTAGATTGCCAATATGGTCTCATTGTATTGTCCTCATTTTTTGTGCATAAAGTAAATGCTAATTGAGATTTTATTAACTGAAATTGATTTATTAATGCTTTTGGATTGGTCAATTGTGTCAAACTGTGTGCTATAAACAACATAATCAAACATTTGATAATTATACATATCGAGATGGGTATGTATTTTTTGATCACCAAACTTCTTTCTGACAAAATGATCACCCAAAAAATAACACTTTTGATCACCAAATCAATTAAAGAAAATATATAAGAAGAATATATCACAATTTAATACCAAATTAATTAGTGGACAGACAACAATAAGAATGGAAACTATTACGCACAGCTAGATCATTCGATGAAGCGAAAGAATACGCAAAATTACACTTTGACGAAGTATAGAAAGTATCCTTTATGTTATAGTATGTATAGGTCACATTCGCAGAGAAGTCAAAAACATGTGTGTATGGGGTTCTTGCATGTACTGTGACAAGAATTTTCTGAAGTTTATAATTTCTTTAACCCGTCATTCAGCGCCTGCACTAAAACTTAGCTTTCTTTCTTATTGTTTTGCATGCTTCACAAAACACTCTTGGCTTGTTGTATAAATACTCACCGCCAACCACTCTGCCCTCCTCCCATCTCACACACAGTTCTACGAAATTTTCACAACAAGAAGAAGAATTTATATGTCTATATTATGGACTATTTTTCACTTCACTGCGATGCGGCTTTATAAACTTTTCTTAACTTCGCCCCAAATGCGACCTATGTATACTATGACAAAAAGAATACTTTCTATACACACTGCATTTGAAAGAATATTTTGTATGGTTTTTAAATCTGATCGATAATATTAACAAACAATAAAGTGTAATTTTGCGTATTCTTTCGCTTCATCGGACGATCTAACTGTGCGTAATATTTTCCATTCTTACTTTTGAATATTCTTTTTGTTGTCTGTCCACTAATTAATTTGGTATTAAATTGGAATATATTCTTCTTATATATTTTCTTTAATTGATTTGGTGATCAAAAATGTTATTTTTTGATGATCATCTCATTAGAAAGAAATTTGGTGATCAAAACGCATTTTCCTCTGTCCAGATAGTAATGATTTGAGACTATACTTTCTGTTTCATTTATTATTGTATCAAACGGTTTCAATCGCTGCGTATTTTTCAATGCATTTTGTTTGGATTTTATTAATACCAAGTATAATCTAAAATATTTAACAACGGTCTTGAGAATGAGTTATGTAATAGTGAAGATAGATCTGTTGCATACTTCATTATATAATGCTTCATATTGTCTCCATTGATCTCTATATGCGTTGGATTTTCATCTGGAACATCATACTTATCATTTTCTGTTTGAAATTGATATGGCATGTAATACCTTTGACCATTGCGTGGTACCGTAACCCAATCTATTCGAATATATTTTTTATGAGGATTTGAAAAATAAACCGTAGGAATCTTAAAGAGTAGTTATTAGTTCACAGTTCATTAAAACAAACTTTTTTTATATAGTTATTTACTTTTAACGAAATAAAATGATTTCCGACACTGTCTGAAACATAGCGTGGTTTTCTAACGTTACCACTTTCCGGAAAATAATCACTTTTATATCGTGGTCGATACATTTCTTCTAATGGAAAGAGAATTTGTAGTTGATATGGCGATACTGGCATAATTCCAACCGATTGAGATAATGGAATTGATGTTGTTATGTCAGGTTTAGAATTTTTAATAATTGGCAAGTTTAGAGCTTAATTTAAAAACATAAAATAATTATACTTGTAAGTGCTCAGATATTACATACTTTTAAACTATTGACGAGAGAAGAGGCCCAAGTTCCAGATCTGTTTTTTGGTGAAACTGGGTGGACTATTTGGAATTGATGATGTTTATTCAAAATATGAACAACGGAGTTGCCATTAGCCTTTTATTGACCGATTATCTGGAAACTGGGTCTTTAGAAAACAAGAGGCCAAATCCAGAAAACTTTTCTAAATCTGTCGTACTGTTTATTAACACTTTTAATAAAATTCTTCTGCCATCAAAAACTCTAGATCACAGCAATTTTGCACGAGATATTTTAATGAAAGTACCGGGACTTTCATTGAAAACATTTTTAATAAAAGTTCTGGTATATCTATTAAAAAAAACGTTTTAATGAAAGTCACCCAATCCTTCTACTGTAACGTTTTCCCGTCGAAATCAGCGTAGCCACTCTTTTGGGAAATTTTTCTATACTGTTGATTTTTGTATTGGCAAAATAAAACTTATGGAACATAGCAGTTTTGTGTTCCCTACAAAACGGCCAATTCAGAAAACTTTTCTGGATTTAGTTTCTGGTTTCCTAAAGATCCAGTTTACAGAAATCCGGGCAACAAAAGCGTCGGGGCAACGTCGATGTTCATACTCGGAATCAGCGTCTTCAATTACATCTAATTTACTTAGTTTCATGGAGAAAACGATTTGCAACTTGGAGCCTTTTCCTCGTGAGAAAGATTTCTATCAATAATGTTTATTAGATAGTGACTTTCAAATTCAGATTTTTTCTCTTTCTATTCAAAGTCTCATTATAAACATTAAGAAATATTCACAATGCTAAGAATATATTTTGGTTCTAAAAGAGACTTACAATTCGTATGTTCCTGGGATTCATGTGTGTCAACACTACACTGAACATCTATAAGAGAAAGTAACAATGACCTAATCACGAGTAGATATTCACAAATAAACTCTTACATACTTGTCACATCAATATCGTTAAATAGATCGTAAATATCAAATGCATAGTTATCAACTAGAAGAAAAAAAACTAATTTCTTCGCCTTGTCCAGTAACTTTTTAAAAATACATACTTTCCTCGACGGACAGCTTATCTTGTGTTAAAATTGAGTCAACCAAATCATACTTGCTACTACGTTCATCAAGATAAGTCATAATAGTTAGTAAAGCGAGATGTAATAACAAGAAATTAATAAATAAAGATATAAAAATTGTAATATTTTAATGACTGAAACGAAAACGAGACATTAAAAACGTTTTGTTCGTTTTTCAACAAAAGCCTTTTAGAAGCATCAAATATTGTTATTATTTGATATTTACTTTCTTATCAGCTGCTTTAAAGCTAGTTGTAAGAGAAGAAGATTAATATTTGATATTTTAGTTTAATTTCAATTAGTAAATTCAGTAAAAAGCGTGTTACAACACAAAATTATAGAAAATAAAGATCTTTTTGAAATATAAAGTCTGAATTGACTTGAAATATTTATCCAGATCCTATTTTAACATATCTAGTAGTTGAGACAAACTCCCACTGATATCTTAGTTTTCACCATACTATTTGGGAAAATTGTTTTTCTTTACCAAGCATATAGGTCCACCAGTCAGATATAGGCTCCTAACTGGCTTCTCAAGCAATGATCTGCTATTAAAATAGGCTCTAATCATCACTGTATTTAGAAACAATTCCTTTGTCACATTTTACATCCAAGTTAAATACAATAAAATATACATAGAATGTTTAGCTAATCCATAAAATACCATTGCAAGCATGTATGTAACGCAAATAACAGAGAATTACGATTGATACATATAAATATTAAAGATTAATACATATAACAAACAAACACACAAGTTGAAATTAATAGATTTGAGAAAGAATTAATTTGAAATGAAAGTCATTCTGTTTCTTTTCAGCATTGCAAAAATAAATAAATGGGAAGAAACATGTGAATCTACTCGTTACTGGTAGTTCTCACTTCAGCATTCTATTACGTTCATTACATCTCTTTTATTTGAACGCTAGTTAAAATGAAGAAATTTATAATTTTTACAAACACACTATTATGTACAAAATAGTGCCATACCTTTTTGATCGATGGCAATCCATCATCTTTTTTACGTTTGCTAGATGAAATTTTAGTTTTGCTTTGATATGGTGCAGATGGTATTACTTTTTCTATAGCAAAACAATGTTCACAATTTGGACACGCAATCTGTTGGATTTGTTTAGCTAAAAATGAGTAAAGAAAAGTTGTCAAACTTTTTTCCCGATATGAATAAAAGTAGAGACGAACTTGGCAAATATTCTTCCTCTAAACGGAAAAATAAAATTAGAAAAACGTTTTTTTCTAGAAGTTGTATGCAATATGATTCATACCAGTAGAATGTGTCGGCTTTAATGATGGTTCTATATAGAGTAGAAATCAACTGAAAGAATTTATGTTATTAGAATTATCGAAACTCACCTTCGGTCATTGTGTCTGAAATAACTGTTGTTTCGAGATGTGGAATATAGGTATTATCATTTCGTTTTGTGCATAGTGTAAATGCCAAATGCGATTTATCTAATTTATATTTTTCAATTAGATCTTTAGGATTTAATCGCTTTGTAGCCACATTTAAATCCCAAACATGTCCAGGTACTAGAATGATCGCAAAACTATTTTGAAGTTTTTATCTAAAATCTCTATTTCACTTTTTCACTGCAACTATTAACAAACGAATAATAATGTAAAAAAAATATTTACTACTTACTTTGAGTTTCTGATGGAATAAATGGTTTTAAGGGTTGTGCTTGTTTCAACTGATCAAGCTTAGATCTGATCAGAACCAAATATAATCTGAAATGAAACGGTAACAAGAGAATAATAGTCAAAGTGTGTTTTACGTACTTCATCATATATATAACAAAAGACACACAAGTTAATATTAATGGATTGAGAAAAAGAAAGGATTAATTTGACAAATGTCATTCTATTTCTTTCACACGTTGTAAAAATAAATAAATGGCGAGAAAAACATGAATATACTCGTTATTCGATAGTTCTCCCTTTGACATTTTATTACATCACCTGTTTTATTAACACGTTAATAGGACAACGAGACGCCAACTGTGCTCGGCGAAGATCGAAAGGCGTGAATGGGACTAGCTCGCTTCTACCTATGGCAGTACAGTGGATCTAACCCTTAGTAAACTGCTATATAAATTCAGACTCCTCCGAAATCTAATCGGATCTACTAAAGGAACAGTATGACAGAGACAGATAATTAATTCAAATTATCTGTTAGACTTATGAGTCATATTGTTTTTTCGAACACAATCCCTCTGAAGTCTCTGCTAGAGGTCACGTGTAGGGATGGGCCGTAATGAAGCCGAATAGAACGAATACGTTTAATGTGAAGTATACGAAGCGGAATACGAAGACAGAAGGATGAATTTTCTCATTTTCGTTCTTTTAATTTCATTATTATGTCTCATTGCAAATAGTCGACTATTCATATAACTTAGTTCTGTTTTTTCTTATTAGCAAAAGACAAACTATATTATCAGTGATTTATGAGTGAGTATAGACGAAAGTAGTTCGACTAAACGTAATAATGAACTCCTTACGTAAGAAGCTCCCTTCTCATTGGCTCTTACGTTTCTTCATTCAAAATATATAAGAGAAAACTACTGTTACGTTCATTAGGCCCTGTCTACGCTACAAAAGTTAAAGGGGCATTAAGCAATTCTATTGGCTTAAACTAACTTTTAGCTAATAGAATTACTTAAAGCTCCTTTAACTTTTGTAGTGTAGACAAGGCATTACGCTTGTTACGTACATTTCAGCTCTTTTCTCTTTCTTTTCTGACGTGTATTCGTGTATTCGTATATAATACTCATTATTCGAATATTCTTTACTCGCATATAAATGAAACACGGTTTGCTATAGTGAACAACGAATAGTCATTCATTCCATTCTTCCGAAGCTTACGTATTACGGCCCATCTCTAATCACGTGTTAATTATGAGTGATAGAACTTTCATCAGATTAATTTTTGTCATATAGAAAAAAGAGCTTTCATCGCACATGACAAAAGTGTACAGCATTTTTGGGGGAGTACCACTCCACACTTTTGACAAGAGTGGTGGACTTTCGTAACCAGCTATGTAAAATATCTACAACTATCGTCACACCCCATCGTGAACTTTCGTCACACTAATACCATAGAACTGCTTACATGTGGATTACTCCAATTTGGACTGCTGCAGTGTGGACTACTCCAGACTGAACTAATCCTAAACGCAATAGACGCTTGATTTTGATATTTTGACTTTGGAAAACGACTTCAGAAGGGTTTTTTACGCGTTTCGCTAACAAAATGCAATGTTTGTAAGGAGAAAAGCAAGAAGTTATTACTCCAGTTTGTACAGCTACAGTTTACATTACTGCAGTTTCGACTACTCCAGTTTGCACTACAACCTTGATTTCATTGCAGCCGTTTCGTGCAACATGTGACGAAAGTGCCGACTTGTCTAAAAAACCAGACATTTTCGTCATATAACGGGTTAACTTTCATAACCACTATTCAAACATGGTTAAACTTTCATCACCTGTCGAGAGAATTTTTGTCACTGAAAACAGAACTTTCGTCATGTGGCGAAAGATCAGCGTTACCCGATGACGAAAGTGCTGTGAAACTTAATTATCTCATACTTAAAAAAACTTTCTAGATTTCAAACAGTCAAACACCATTTCTGCTGGAGCGATTACATGATAACTAAAATTGATATCGAAAGAATACTTTCGGTTGTGCCACATTCAGTATGAATACTATTCTATCAGTTTTTGTCCTGTTGATCTACCAGTTGAAATAAGAGAGATCGGTGGGTGGAAACATTGAAGAACTTGATGCCAATTGGACACTGCGAAGATTGGAAGCCGACAGAGTGAAAACTGCTGCTAGCTATAATATATGCTACGTAGATAATTAATTTAAAGCGAAAATATATCAGTGAAAGAAGCTCGTGTTTTCTTCTGTAGCAAAAAGAATATGTTTCGAATTTTATTCACCTACAATTATCTTCTACAGCATATTATTCACATTATCGTATGAGCTCATCATTATTATATCATACATTCTGCTATAGCTTTCATCATATCAAACACTATGGTAGTTACTACGAAGGATACCAGGTGGCGATTAATTGTCTGATTGGAGAAACGATAAAGTTTTCTACAGAATATGCTCATTTTGTATGGTACTAATTATAGGATAGCTAAAGCAAATATTCGAAAATTAACTTCAGCCGTCTCATGTAGGACTCTTTTACTTTCGAATCATCTTTTTCTCAAATCTGCACGATCAGAGATAACCGAGTACGATGGATGAAAAAATTGACTAAAAGGTTAGAGAAAGAACACGACTCACAGTGAAAAGCAATAAGCCGACTTTTAGTCGTTTCACTCACTCGGCTTAGTCATAGTCGAATAGTGTTTTACGTACTTCATCACATTATCGTTGAGTGCATTGTTGCTAACCGGTACGTAAATGGGATTTTCATCGGGAATTTCTGAACTGTAATTATCTCTTTGAAATTTGTATGGACTATAATAGTATATATCATTGACGAGTCCAGTTAACCATGCTACACGAATATATGTATTTGTAAGATAGTTTATATAATCCGCGGGTATCTAAATGTGATGAAAAATTAAATATTTATTATATTTTAACAGAATAATAAAATTACTTTTAATGATATAAAATGATTTCCGATACTGTCTGAAACATAGCGTGGTTTTCTAACACGACCATTTTGAGGAAAATAATCACTTTTATAACGTGGTCGAAATGTTTCTTCTAATGGATATACAAGTTGTAACTGCTTTGGTAAGGAGTTAATAACACCAACAGATGTTGACAACTGTATATTATACAGTGATAAATCATCATATAATTTGTTGTTTTTATTGAGAACTTTATAATAGTAACAAAAACAACATATAATTAACAGTAAACTCTATCATAATAAATACAATTACCTTTCTCACGGCTTGAATGTATCAGTGGTGAACCTTGAATAGAGGAAAAGATCACATTTAACTGATATAAAAAATAGTACACACACACACACACGCACATTGTGTACTCAATTCACATGTTTGTATTAGCTTATTATGCGCTATTTGTTCATTCATGTAACCTATATATTAATAGAACATAACATTTTATTGAACATTTAATAAAGTTTTCATTACAACTTACTATCTTCGATTCCATTATCATCTGCGTTAATACCTTGTTGAATATTTTCAAGAGTTTCAGCAGATCCTAATATGTACAAGAGTATACACATAAAACAGATATAACAACAAACGCCACTATACTATAATTACTGTCCAGTGACGTAGGCACCTCATTGAAAAGATCTTTGAAGTCATTATCCGACAACGGACTAGGACATAGTACATCATTGTAATCTACAAAATAAATTCGTAAATAGTGAAAAGTTCTGTTTAGTTTGTCATTTCACCTGCTATATTGACGTCAAGAAACATGTCTACTTCATTCAAATGATGACGTATAATTTTAGGTTCTAAAAAATGATAAACATTTACATGAGATTTCTATTATTCATTCTATAGTGATGACACTAGGCAACTGAATACAAGTTAAAAATGTAGTATACCTTCAGGCATATAATTGTTTGCTGTATATCTTTTATTGAAAGATCTAATGAAAATATACATTAAAACTTACCTAATTCAGTCATGTTTCCTGCTGAATACATCCCAATTTTTGGTATCCATTTTCTGAAATCCATTCTAATTTTTATGCATCGTATTAGCCACAAATATCAAAAGTTCTAAATACAAAAGAGAATAAGTTATTTATTTTTGAATAATAAGCAAACAATTATACTCTACCTTATGAACTTAGCATGCAAAACAAAACAGAAAAACACGGCACTGTTATATAATTCTAGTATTTTAGAATAATTAGAAACGAAAACAATAGTATATTCATTTACTCTTATTGAGTTTATCAATGTATACGGTAAAAGTACAGTATCTAATCTTCACTTCTTACTTGAGCAGTAAATTATAGCTGAATAAAATAAGTTAGAACAAAAAATATATACTATATTATATTGACACTTAGAATATGATAACATTAATCAAGAAACTCTAAGAGAAAACACTAGAATAGTTCTAAATTTTCGTTTTGTTACAATGACATTCAGTTTTTACTTTTTAATGTTAAACATACCTATATCTAAATTTTTCTTTTGAATACAATAAACTAACGAACAATAATATCGCTTTCTATTTCCAGATTGACTTGGTTTTTTCCTTTTGTATTTTTTCTTTTTCTTCCAGTCATGTGTCATTACCAATAAAGTAAATGGATGACGTCATGATAATATGTGAACTCAACTAAAGTACACACACTCAAAGCGAAGAACAAGAATAAAAAAATGACTATTATTTGCCGAACAGTAGAAATAGTTGAAAAAGTTAGTCCGCATTCTTCTAGTAGACAGCATGGACACTTTCTTCTTAGATACACGCATAGGCTAATGAACACAATGAATAGTCGCTATTTAGAGAAAAAATATTCTCACTTAAATATTATGCATCGATTATGTAATAATAAACTGACATTTCCATGCGTATTTTCAGAAGATATACGTAAAAAACTTCCCCTTTTTCCGTTCTATAGTTTAGAATTCTATTAAAAACGATGTATTTTTTTTTTCTTTTTGGTTTTTTTACAAATAGAGAATAGAATGAAAAAAACTCGTTTCTTATCATACGTTTTTCTACCAATATCTGGCAATCTCCGTCCGACCGCCAGTGGCTTGAAGTGGCTCGGACTACCGCGGGCTTCAGAAATTTTATTGAACTGAACTGTTCCAGAAATCTCTGTTCCTACAAGCAGAACAAAGACGTTCTGTCTGTGGGAAAAGAATTCACAGAACAGAACACAATTGTCCCGTTATCTGGGAAATTTTCCCAAGGAAAGTACCGGATTATTCTCTTATGGGAACATGACTGTTCTGTTTCGGGAATCGGATTGTTCCGTTTTGGGGGAAGAATATTGAGAGAAATATCACTATTTTATTTGAAAAGAAAACAACGCACTTCGCCACTCCGGACCATTGTACGAAGTGCCGGAGTGCTATGGAGTGTGGTTTACTCCGCGGAGTGCGCTTTTTCCCCCTTGATCTAGTATCTGCCTTAAACAAGATGTTGCTGCTGATGTATCTAGCAATGCGTCTAGTATAACGCGATTTCCAGCCAGATGCAACTAGTAATAAATCGGTTGCTACAACTTAGAATCTCTAATTACCGTTTTACACTGTGAAGTTTGACCTGTACAAAGTTGAGTCCAGCAGATGAAAGCTAGTAGATTAAATTTGTCATATATGTGTCCAGATTCAACTTCTGAATCACTTCCTTTCTAAAGAAAAATCAGAAATACAACTTTTTGCTGATTTTCGATTTTGCACTATGCACGAAGTATTTTTAAAAGTTGGGCGTAGAGACGAAAGGTGGCAAATTAAATTTCCTAAATACTGTCTGTCGGCTTAACTTTGTGCAAATCGATCTCCACAGGGAAAAATGATGTTTGCCGATTCTTACAATGAAGAAGGATTTCGAGAAACACAACGAAAGAAAAAAACATGTTCCCGTAAGCATCTGTGATATAGTGGTATAGAGAGAAGATTATTGTTAATCTCTAGGTACAGAGTTTGAATCTCTGCAGGAGCGTTATTTCTTTTTTCCGCCCGAGTCAAAACCAAAATAGCTCAAAGAAAAGGTTTTCTAGGAATCTTTAGAAGAAAGGAAATGTTCTTTTCTAATTTTGAATACTGGATCAGATTCAGCAGACAAAACGGAGTGTACGTATATGTTGAAGTTTTGAAGTAGTTTGGATCAGTTTTGACTGAGTTGATTGAGTTATGACTTTCCCTAATATAAGTTTTTACTAGATTCTTGAATTTTCTTCTGAAAAAAAAACATTGTCACGAGGCTAAGCTTTGAACTTACTCATATCAAAATTTGATCATTTTTTTTCTAAAGTAACGGTATTTGGAATTTTTACATATTCAGAATCAGCGTGATGAGTTACATTGTACGGCGCAAAGATCTCGTCGGGGTACACGCAAAAATGGGATCTTAGGAGTTCCGCTTAGAATACCACTGTATTCAACGGTATAGTTTTTTTCTTTCTGCTTGATTTTTTGGAATTTACAAGAAAAGTCCTAAATTAATTTCTTCTTATTTCTGTAGCTTTGAGTTGACTGACAATGAATATTAAGGGCTTTTCTTATAAATTCTACAACTTTGCACAGAAATGTTGTGTAGAGCTGGGAGATATCTCATTTTAATCAGAAATTGGCAGGCTACAATCAGATCTTATTAAGAAACTCAGCGCTTCTAGTACAAAAGTACATGTGCTAAAAGCTATTATTCATTTCAAAATATAATGGCCGTGGATGTTTTTTGAATTACTTGGGAACGAAAGGTGATGAAGAGATGTGGCTTTTACCATCTTGTAAAAGATACTTTACTATATCTTTTCGTATATGGGGACTTTCAACACCCCGATTTTCACCTCAGACATGACAGGGGTGAAAAAAGAAGAGATGACCAGCTACCGAAGCCAAAATAAAAGTTTCTCTTAAGTTATATAGTTAGGTAGCTCAAAGTGTTCTCTTCAAAAGTATGCAAGTTCGAGGCCCCTAGCCGTCGTGACTTCCCGACAGTATAGTAATTTCATTATTACCTTGTTGAGCAAACAAGTGACGTTTACTCGAAATTTTCACAGTATTATTGTAGACCATAAAATATTTGTACGTAAAATACAATCTACTTGATAGTCATGGTGATAGTCATGTCGTTTTTGAAAATAGTTTTCAGATTATGCAAATACGTACTGTCAAAATTGTCAAAAAACACATGCAAAATGATGATCCTGTTTCGGATCCTAATGTTGCATCACATGTTGAAGACATTTATAAATGGTTGTAAAATGAATCTTGAAGACTTCAAGCATATCGCATCAGAACTTAATCATTCTGTTTCGTCCCCGGTTAGCCATCGATAAAGTTTTTAATTATTTCAGATTTAAATCGCAGTTGTGTATAAGTATTAAAAAAATACGTAAGATCTGTTGCCGGATTTTTCTATTTTATTTTAATTTAAACGACTATTAAACATGAAATTAAAGAAAAAACAATTTTGAAAACTAGAGGTAAGTCTTTGCTATTCTATTTTTCTTCAAAATGTATCTAGTTAGATAATCAACAAAACGCACGCAGTCGTGATAAGTTTTTTAAATATTTTGACTGATACAATTTATTAGTGCAAAATTGTACTACAGCGTTATTTAAATGTACTCGATTACTAATTCATCGTCAGAAAGCACATTTATTGGAAAAAGCCATTTTAAATGGTCATACAGTGTGAGAAAAACAATTGATTAAAGTGGTAACTATCTCCTATTCGTTTTTAAATAAAACACCGACGAGTTCGCATGCTTGTAAGTCTTCAAGATTCATGTTACAACCATTTATAAATGTCTACAACGTGTGATACAACATTAGGATCCGAAACAGAATCATCATTTTGCATGTGTTTTTTGACAATTTTGACAGTACGTATTTGCATAATCTGAAAACTATTTTCAAAAACGACATGACTATCACCAAAATAAAAATAGATTGTATTTTACGTACAAATATTTTATGGTCTACAATAATACTGTGAAAATTTCGTGTAAACGTCACTTGTTTGCTCAACAAGGTAATAATGAAATTACTGAATGAAAAAAATGTAAAGTAAATGTGACTTTTACTATCACGTTTAGGCAGTTGGAAAATGATCAGACAGAATAAAGCATTCAAACAACATATTGGTCAGAGCATAAACTTAAATCCTTATAAAGATGAATAATTCTTATATTGTATTTGTCAATAAAAACATTTTATATTAAGAATTGTTAAAGTGACAAATAAATATTACCTATAAAATCCAACGAAAACAAAAAACAATTTTTTTTTATGGCAATGATAAAATTCTTTAAAAGCTTTTTTCACGCAGATATAGTAAGTTACTTAGAATGAAATAGAACAGAACATTCTGTGTTAGTGTAGAAGCTAGATAGGTTTACAGGATAGATTATGTCAGTCAAAACTAAAAGCTTTTTGACAAAAGTAAAATCAGCATCTTCTTATGTGACCCGATGAGCTCCATTCAATAACATCAAAAAAAGGAAAAAAATTGATACGTTTTTCAATTGTTGGCATTTTACTAGTTAACTATACACAAGTTTGTTTTAACCGTTATTTCAATACTTGGAAAATCTCTAATCGCTTAACAAAACCTGATTTTACCATACTCTGTAAAACAACATCAAAACTTCGTCTATTTTTATTATCATTCGAATGAATTATCAGCGTTGTTGTACATCAAACTAGTGAATAAGCATCCCTTTTCATACTGTCCATAGATGAGAACATTTGCTATACTTACCTTACACGGTTGCTACGTCAATATTTCTCAATATTGTTGTAGAATATAGCGGATTGTATGAGGCATTGTCAAATATCGTCTAAAAATAGAATAAAGCATTCAAAAACCAAAAGTGGGAGCAACATAGTTCTTTTCTTTAGTTACAAGATAACATCGCTTCTCTTTTCATTACGCGTGTGCACAGGATCTTTATCGGGATCAGAAAAATTCTTTATAACTCATCAATTTCAAAAGCTAAAAACTTTGTGAATCATACTTTTAAAGTAGACATTTGTCATTCATTGTTAAAAATGACCGTATGAAAAGATCAAAATATCCAAATGAAATGATGTTAAAACTAAAAACTGGGGTAAAAACCATTATATGGTTTCTTCGTTCTCTATAAATAGAGAATAAAAAAACAATAGAATGAAAGGGAGAAATGTTCTTCGTCATCTGTGGTAGTGACGTCTCTATAAGCGAAATTTTATATTGCATGGATAACAAAATGACGATGTAACGAGTTATTACATCATTGTTGACTGAGACGAAAAGATGATATGAAAAGAGTCGTTAGAAATTACGATAGACTCTATTCTTATTCAAACAGGAATAAACTACCTAATCAAATAAATAATGTGATTTTAGATTATGTTGAAGGGCATGTTCAGTTGGGATTAACCCTAATTTCTGACCTGCTTTTCTTGTTTGCTTGCCAAAAGTATGCCCACTCACCCCAAGGATCGCAAGAAATTTGTATAAAAAATTCTATGCACATATCCTCTAGACCATATATAAATAGTCTAACACATTCCCTTCCTCTCGGACTCGATGCTTTCTGAAGTACAGCATTTTCTTTTTTTTCAGTAAAATGCAATGAACAATTTCTTTCTTTAGCAAATGTAGATATCTCTCTATGTAATCCAGGCATAATATGCCTTATTTTATTGCGAGATAAACAAGACACCAATACACTCAAGCTGCATGTGGTAGCGCTATCATTTTTTGCCGCTTTGATGGATGTTATACTGGTTCCCATTGCTAGGAGTCTCTCACTCTTACTCTTTTCCTGCAACTACGTGAAAACTAGTAGATCATGTGACTCACACAACGGGATTTTTCTCAGGAGTTTGCCGGCATTGAAAGAAATCCAGATTCTATGATAAATTTTCTATAGCTGGAATTAAGTTATTCATTAACATAGTAATACAGTTATAAGGCACTCTAAGAAGCCAGGAATACACATCTTGACGAATGTGTTTTAGCCTAATCTATTTCTTTATGTCCTTGTTCACAGAATTCAATTAATTAACTCAGTTCATTCATTCTTTGTTGACTGAGTACACAACCGCATTCGACCAAAACCTTTACAAAGATCTAGGAACTTAAACATACACTCTCTCATACGTGGATCCGAATTCTGGATTTGAATATTTAGTGGACACATTCTGTACCGTGTTTACACATCTGCGTGTTTATACATGCTTGTCTTTTTCTTATACTATTTGTGATATCAAAAGTAAAAATTGTATATATTTAAAGAAGGACGAGATAGACATCACTCATTTTTAAGCAAAAGTGTTGATACGTGACAGAAAAGACTAAAGAAAAAACGTATAAAAACGTCCACTTGCAGGGCAGAAATTTCCACCGGCATACCTACCTGACAAGACAAAAGGTTTTATCTCTGATCTGGAAATTGCACCGCAGCTAATTGTTCTTTTATAGCTGGGAAGAGAAACTATGCAGGTGTGCGGCTCTGCTGTCTAACATAAAAAACCCGCAATTACATCTTCCGTAGGCAAGAAGTTTTATACTTTATAGATTAGAGTAATGGCAAATCGCCCAGCTTTTTCTTGTGGCAGAAGCGCAGGTCATGAAGGTTCAATAGTTTAAGATCTCGGTATTTTTTCCAAGATCTTCTGACATTTCTTAACCCAAGTTTACGAAACACTTGATTTCAATGGTTAATTCCACTAAGTCAGACTAGCTTCCACTAACTTGTCAGACAGAATCATAGACGAGACAGTCAGAGAAGAACAAAAGAAAATGTCTCAGCACCATAGTTTTTATACAAGAATAATACTACAGAAAAACCCATCAGCACTAATATAAATAGGGTAAAACTCCCAGAAAACGGCAAACTTAATCAGGCATTCAAGCCTAGAGTGAGATTTCTCGAAACTTTAGTATGACATGCGGAATTCGAGTCTAAAGTTATTTATTATTTCTTGTCGATCTAGGTAAAGCGTCTCAGGAATACTCTTCTTTACATAAATCTCTTTTCCATACTCTAGAAATTGGATTTTCTCTTAGTTGTCAAGTAGCCGAAGAAAGGTAAATTCGGAATCGACGGAAAAATAATCCGTTTGAATTTAGTCACATTTAACTGAATGTAATTTCTATTGCATCAAAACCGAATCTTCTCGATCACTCTTTCCTATCTTGATCCAAATTCTCATCATTTCATCAAGTGGAATAACACAAAGTAAGTCGTCAGCAAGCGATATTATTATACTGTGTGTCCTCAATATCGTGAGCAAGTCTCTGATATAGTTCATGGATACAAATGGACCCGAAAGCGAGCCCAGATGGCCCAGACTTTCATAGTGCGCTTTTGAAAATCGAATTAGCGAATAATTTGCAACGTTCGACATATATATTCTCAACTTAGCTATGAGAAGAATTTCATTAATTGTAGTTTAATTTTTCACGGATAATAACAATCATATACAATATGTATTGCAGTGTTTAATATATGCTCGTAAGAGCAAAAAGAAACGGAGCGAAAAAGTAGTGAATTGCAAAAAGAGAGAAATGAGAACAAAAAACGGCTTATGTATATAGAGTTGTACCTTTTTTATTGTAACCTATGACTGATGATTACAGAACGTAATCGAAAGCTTCGATTTTTTTATAAATAAAAATTAAGATGCATACGATTGTTATTACAAGTTAAGACAATCTCGTCGGCTGTGCTGGTAGCAAGAATCAGTTAAAGTTTCAAAGAACTTTTTTGTAACTAGAAACGGTTATAAAACAAATCTGTCCAATACAAACAAAATCGAGTCTTTAAATCACGTTCTTTAACATGTTAGTCGTGTTAAGGAAAACCAGATCTTTTCTGTAATTAGCTGCCTAAAATTGAAATGGTTACTATAGTTCATATTTTGCTTATAAATGAACCATAAATCCGTAAGACAATATATGAGAAAACTGAAGGCTCAAAACTACAGAATCAGCTGCTTCCATCCACTAAACTCTGCTGCAAAATAGACCGACATGTCATTCTATTTTGTCCTAGCACATCAGGTATTTTAAGGTGTGTCAGAGATTTAACAACTTGTCAAAAGACTTGACTAGACTGATGACTTGAGTATCACTACATCTGTCTTGAGAGCGACATGTCTTTCTGGTTTATCCAGCATATCAAAGTATTTAGGGTGTCGTTCTATTTGGTGTGTCCTTCTATTATGGGATGTCGATCTAATTTGTCGCAGGGTTTAATGCAGTTCAGAAAACCAGTTATAATATTCATACATGAAGTCATATACAGTACAGCAAAAAACTTTACACAACAATTTGCACTCTCCATACAAAAATTTGTTCAACATTTGAATGTTTCCAAAATAATCATAATAAATAATTATAATAACAATTATTATCACCCATTCAGTACTCTTCTTTACTGCCTTAGACACCAATTTCGGTTCAATATTAAATACGACATCATGAGTCGATATCATGTTAGATAAAGTATCCTTCGCTTGAACAATCATTGCTTGTTTGCTGCTTGCAGACGATCTGCCTGCTACCTTTGGTACCTGCCACTCGAATAAACCTGTCGTTTCATCAAAGGATGATGTAGGTGGTTTATTTGTGACATTGTACGTAATCAGTGATGGCTGAGCGTTACTTTTAGCAGTAAAGATAATCTGCACAAAATCACCTTCGCGAACGCTACGTTCTAGTTGTAATGCTGCGTCAAATCAGGAGGATTATGGTCAATAGTATGCTTCAGCTCAGTCAACACCTGAGCTGCTTGTAGTGACGATTGAGCAAAATTGTTGTCTCCTGTGACTGCGAAGTCGTATGCACAAAACCGCTGAGCGGGTGACTAAGAAGATGAATCATTCATTTGTGTGCCTAAAACGGAAAGATTGCAAACTACAACAATTTCGGCGAAAAATCTCTTATTTTACTTGATATCTTGCAGACATTGCGAGTTTCATTTCTTTCCATCACATTTGAATTTATATATGTTGTTTCCTTGTTTTTCGTTGTGTAGAACATGACAGTAGAACCTCTCAGATCATCATAATTCATCAATGTTAAGTTTGGATCAATCGCCCATGATCTACCAAATTCATCATGAATCTCTTTTTCACTCGAGTTGCTAGGGAGAGTTGTGCCGTTAAGGCATCTAAAGTCATTTGCTGAGTTACCGTCAAAGAAACCGAGTAAACGGTATATTTTATCAATGTATTTCCCCGATATTGCGGCTGCTACATTCAAAACTAATCCTGGGTTAAGTGTCGTAATGTTAACACGTGTGATTTGAAAAGCGACACCAATCAGCCAAGTCAACGTAATCGCTTGACTGGTGACATTTCTATTGATAGTCATCTCGGGAAACGACAAAAAAGCGGTTTCGCCTGTATTCAACAGTTTATTGTCACGATAGACTAATATCTGGCGCCGAGATACGCGCACACTAACAGATTTCGCATTAGTCTCATTTGATTTTGCTACAAATGCGTTAGTGATCGTAGCTACTTTATTTGAGAGTGGAATGGTACGAACTTGTGACATAAATACGTTTGAAATAGCCAAATAAATGTACTCACCATAACCGTTGAATGTGTAAAATGCTCCGTCTAACGTCATATAATGAGGATCTCCCCAAATTCCGCCTGAAGCACCATGAGGTCCCTGCAGACCGTGATTTATGCTTCCGCGACGAGTGGGCCGTAATTTTAGAAAAGCATTACACAAGTTGTTATCCACAGACACTTTACAACAAGAAATAAAAGGTAGTACATCGGCAAAGAAATTTTCAGTGGGATAGTTTAATGGCTGATAATGCGCATCGCGACCAGCACCCGTTCCACGAGAAATTATTTGACCAGTACGATCATAACAACATTGAGCTGACGCTTTATACTCATTTGTCCCGGTTGAGCTAAAACATTTTATGGCATTCATCTCGTAGAATTCTGAACGTCCTTGATTTAACCAACAACACTCAGAATCTTCTTGAAATTCCCAAGTAGCCGCATAAGCATGAGTGAGAGTCATCGGACAAGGGAACCAAAGAGAATTCCATGATGAAGCGCTTGGCTGCTGAGAGATCCATGATGAACAATATTGTGCCGTTACCGACGTATTCAGCACGAGAACACCAGTGTTCAAGCTACCGTACGTGATATTGTTATAACGAGCTGTCACCCGTATAATGCCCGTCGAACCAGTAACAGACGATGCACTGATGGATAAGGAATTCGTAGCGTAGGACAGATTGCTTTTAATAGGTATAACAGTAGTCAGTTGTATGATGAAAGTTCTTACAGTTATTTCCCAATAGTCTATATTAAGTGTGGTGGAATTAGGAAACGTTTGCTCCATCGTGTACGGAAATATCCATTGAAGTGATATGGTATCTAGCAATGGTAAGCTCGTTAGTGTCACTTCATCAGAACCGATTTTTAACTGCATATATTGATACTCTCCAATAGATAAAAATGTTAAGTTACCATCTAATGAGATCGATAGATTCACTAACCCGGCTATAGACGAAAACGGCGTTAAACAGCGTGCAACAACCTCATTTAAAACAAATCCTTGGACAATAATAGATGAGTTAAACTTGCATGTGATGTTGGAGTGAAAACATCTGTCACTTGTTATGTCTATAGCAGTACCTCCAAATTGTGACCCACGTTTAGGATAAAATGAAAACGATTCTCCACTGCTTTGACAACCGGCTACTTGAATACTATAAGTATCAGTTCGGAAGGCAAACAGACCGGAAACATTTACATTACTTTCGTACGCAAGTGCCTTTTCTCGATAAGGCAGAGAGTAGGATCGCGTACCATCACCAGCGTTAAAACCAACTAAAATAGTGAAATTCGTATTGTTTGCTGATTGAGTTTTGTTATAGAAAAGAAATGTAAAAGTACGCTGCTCATCGGTCATCGCCACGATCTGAAATGTGTTGATTCTATCTACCTCACTGTCTTCGAATAATTGAGTCTGAGACCATGTACCGGTGAGGACCATTTTTGGAGAAAATAATTTCTCATTTGGAAAATGATGATTAACCAGCATGGCTGCTTGAACAAGTGTCTTATTGGACTTATTAGTCGTGTGAATTTGATAATACCTGCCAGTCGTACGCAGACTGTCTGGTTGACTTGTGATCGAAGTTGCCGAGTACGTTGATGCTTGAAATCTAGTGAAACGGCCTAATTGACTTGTGATAGAAGTTGCTGCGTACGTGGATGTTTGAAATCTAGTGGCATAGCTAGTCGGTGTATTCGACAATGTGCTGTTAGAGAACCAAAGAACGGCTTCTGTAGAATCGGTCAGTCTCCAAAAGCCAGCAATCGTTGGAGTCTGATCGGCAAGTGGAAATGAGGCATACTTCCAATTAAAAGTATACGGAGGAATATAACGATCACTGAATGAAAATGCACCGTTTGGATTAATCCAAACATTTCGATAATTTTTATTATAAAAAGGAAAACTGAAGGGTAATGACGTTGCATTTATGTGATATAGATCGGACTCCATTGATAGATCACCAGCCGATGGCCCATATGGGAAAAACTCATGTACCGGTATACAGTTCACGATCAGATTATAATAGACGAACAATAGCAAATTAGTGATAATTAGAATCATCATGCACTGGATTTCTCGTATACTTGTCTGGAAGTCTGCTATGGGTCTCAAGTGCCTTGTCTCGATCCACTCACGATCCAGTAAACAATAGTTTATATGAAGGTTTCTATACGAGAAAATCTATCTTTAGAGACCAGAAAAATACTTGCGGACTTGTTTTGATACTTTATAAGATTTATACCTACTCTTTTCGTTATAACTAAAGTTGAATAAACAGAACCTTAAAGTAGTTGCAATAAAATTATCATTTCTGTATAATCCGTTGGAATTTGTTTGATTATACAGTCTGACTATTTGAATAAGTAATTCAAACAGTGTTACCTATATAAAAATCATAGGTTAAAAACTTATGACCTAATCATTTATTCTAATTGCCTTTTTGACATTTCATTGATTGTGTTTATTGCATTCATGTGTCATGAGTAATAAAAAAGTATTATGATGATTAAACACTTTCAATAAAATTCTAATACTATGAGGTCACTTTATTCTTACAAGAGGATCTTCATAGGTGATGACAAATCGTTTATCCTTAAAAAGGAGTTTTTCATGGGCACTCTTTTTTACTGATCAAGACTTTGATGTCTGTCACTACTGATAGACCTTTCAAACATAGTCTTCTGAAGATCAGGTCACATCTGAAAGTCAACGGCAAGGTGGTTCTAATTAAACATGCATCGATATTCACCGAAGATAATTTACCTAATGAGGAAACCTATCCAAGTGATACCTTCGGATTTTGTTCGTTCATACGTCGATCGATAGAGGGTATCGAGCTAGTAAAAAGCCATTAAGGATTTTCCCTTACTACTCTTGAAGACCCGATTTTCTGGAAAATCAGTTTTTCAGAAACTCCAGCACCTGTCCAAAACCTTTCTTAACGAGGGATGATTGTAGCCCGCAAATTTCTGATTAAAATGAGACACCTTCCAGCTCTATGCGACCTTTCTTTGCAAAGTTACAGAATTTACAAGAAAAGCCCTAAATTAATTTCTTATTTCTGTAGCTTTGAGTTGACAATGAACATCAGGGCTTTTCTTGTGAGATCTATAACTTTGCGAAGAAAGGCCGTGTGGAGCTGTGAGATGTCTCATTTTAATCAGAGATTTGCGGACTACAATCATCCCTCATTAAGAAATGTTTTGGGTACCTTTTGGAGTTTCTGAAAAACCGATTTTCCAGAAAATCGGGTCTTCAAGAGTAATGAGGGAAAATCCTTTTAGGCTTTTTACTAGTTCGATACCCTCTATCGATCGACGTATATGACCGAGCAAAATCGGAACATATTATTTGGACAGGTTTCCTCGCAGAAAAAATGACCATTGGAGACAATTCAAATACATTTCTTCTGTAATCGTACAATGTATGACTAGTTGTCATCTAGATTACTAGTTGGAAAAGGGACTTTTAATTGGATGCGTCTGCATGTGCAACTAGCAATAGTTAAATCGATCGCTTATCGGGCGATAAAATGCAAACGATAGTTGCAGATCAGGAAAAATCTAGTAATCGCTCGATTACTGGATTTCTAGGTCATACCAAATAATTGCAATCGAGTGAAAATCAAGTAATCTAGACGAATCGGACGATACCAGATTGTTTTTTTATGCTTGACTAATGTTTTATTGTGCAATATTTTGAATTTGAACATACTACCAATATTGGAGTATTTCCAGAAACAAAGGAATATGCAGAAAACATTCTTATCAAAAGTTATTCAAAAAATGTCCACGCGCACTGTATTTTGGGATGGATAGTACTTGATGCATTCCAAAACGCGATTTACGCTTTTTCTAAAAGTCTTATGGTACGATAGATTTTTTAAATCTAATGGACATGTGCTGCATGTGTCTTTGCCAATGCAAACACTTTCTTTGCTAAAAAAGTCCTAGTTCACCCATTTCCATCTAAATTCTAAACTAAAAGGTTAGATGCTCTGTAACAGATGTGTAAGGTGAGAAAGTTGGTTCCGGCTATCTCCATAACGGCTGGACTAAAAACAAAATCCTTTTGGTACTTGCCAGTTTTACAGGACGCTCTTCCTTTTGGCTTTTTGACGGTCTAAGGAGGGTTTTTCGAAGATCTCGTTGCAAATTTTACTTTAAAGTTCTTTTTTTTTGCCTCATCTAAACGACTAGTAAAATTTTGAATAAACCCGTTCGTTTCAGCTTGAAATGCTGAATAAACTGGTCACTTTTGAAAGTTAAGCATTGTTAGTTTTAATAGGTAAAAAGCGAAGTAAAAATAATATATTAACTATTAAAATTTTATTTTCTTGATCAAGGAATATTATTTTATTGTATTTGTACACTAGTTTATCTTATATTCCTTAATAATGAAAGTAAACTTTTCGAAAGGACGTTGGAATAATTAAAGTTTCAAATGAGTTTAAATGCAGCTGCTGTTAATATATTATTTTTACTTTGCTTTTTACCCATTAAAATCAACAATGTTTAACTTTAAAAAGTATCTTCAGTATGAAAGCACATTGAGGCCAAGAAACCTGGCCTGACATAGCTGAACAATATAGGAAAAAGGACATAGCAAAAGCGGACATTGTACGTGCTAGATTTACCGGATCATATCGGGATGATCCCATCAACTAAATATCGGCTGGAATCTTGGTCAAAGATACTCTATCCGAAAAATGCTTTCTGCATATTCGTTTGTTTCTGGAAATACTCGGATGTTGGTAGTATGTTCAAATTCAAAATATCGCACAATATAACATTAGTCAAACATAAAAAAAAATAATCTGGTATCGTCCGATTCATCTAGATTACTTGATTTTTACTCGATTGCAATTATTTGGTAACGACCGTAGAAATCTAGTAATCGATTTTTCCTCATCTGCAACTATCGTTTGCATTTTATCGCCCGATAAGCGATCGATTTAATTGTTGCTAGTTGCACATGCAGACACATCCAGTTAAAGTCCCATTTTGGGATGGATAGTAGTTGATGCGTTCCAAAACGCAATTTACGCTTTTTCTTAAAGTCTTATGGCACAATAGATTTTTTAAATCTAATGGACATGTTGGATGGATAGTAGAGTGTATTTGAAAGACGATACTTTGAATTATCTAACTGTAAACTTTTTGAAAATCAGTATTTTTTCACAAAACCTATCATTTCTAACATATGGGGCAGACGTTTAGTTTAATAAAATGTTTAAAGATAGGATGTGCATTCCCATAACAGGATTAACATAAAGATAATTGTTCGTGGCGGAAAGAGCAAGGCTAAATAAAAACACATGCTCATTGTCTTTTGTAATAGAATCATTTGATTCCTATATTTCGAAACTTAATAGACCGGTCTAATCTATTTAATAATATAAAAAATTCAATTTAGATAGTAATATCTATCTTCTTATCTCATATCTTTTATATTAAGTACGTAAAACTAACACTTGCTGATCGAAACTGATTTAATTTAAATATTGCGCGTGTAATTTCTTTCAAGGTTTTACTGTTATATCTTTCTTTGAAATAGTTGATTATGATAACGTGTAAAATATCGCAGTACTGAAGCGTAATCAAAGACAACACGCTCCAACGGGATAATGATATAAAATGCCTACAATTACATCACATAGAAATTCGTTTGACAACAACTGCTAAATTTTTCAAGAGCTCTCAAACATGCCACCTTCAAACCTTCTCTGTGCTCAGCTGCTTCATACGTTTTTTTACGTTTTTCGGCTACACAATGTTTTCTGTTATAGAAATAGGAGCACAGATGTCTATTTTCTCAACAGTATGAGGGATTTCAGAACGATTTCTACTAATACTCCATATTATAGACATCATTATAAAAAACGTAAAGAGCAGATTTATAATCTATCCAAAATGAATATTTTAGTGTATAATCAAAATTTGTTCTTTTTTCACAAAATTCACAATTTAGTACGCTATTATTTTTTCGTTCCTGTCAACAGTTGACATCATTACTTCTGCCTTTCACTTGGCCGATTTATTTTTCAGATGTCAAGTAAATGTCATCGATGTTTTCTTCTGCTATGATGTATATAGCAAAAAAGTTTTATATGAAACTCATAAAAAATTTATGCCCCCCCCTCCCCCAATTTTTGAAGTCTCGCGCCAGCCCTGACAGCGGTACTTCCCAACCAGTTGTTCGCGGGATACTCCGACTGCTTGAAAATATGCTTTCAATGGGTCCTCGCCGAAAGCTCGAACCCTCGGAAAATGACACTTCGGACCCTCGCTTTCGAAGGATATCAATTTCGACTTCTCGGATTTCAGATAGGTAGCGGGCCCTCGAGCAAATTTTCGAGCCGTCGAATAGAGGTGTTCGGGCTCCGAGCCCTCGTTGCACCCTCGGGGGAGCGAGGGCTTGGAGCCCGAACACCTCTATTCGACGGCTCGAAATTGATACTCCTTGAAAGCTTATATCGAGGGTCCGAGGGGTGTCATTCTCCGAGGGTTCAAGCCCTCGCCGAGGGCCTATTTTCGAACAACTACCCCTCGAACGACTTTTTTCATCTGCATGGGTTCTCTCGTTTGCAAAATTTCCAACGTCTTACAGTTATATTCAAGATGTACTATCAAACAACTGTTTGTTTCGAAACATCTGTCTATGAATTTTCCAAAGTGGTCAAAGTAATATTGCAATTTATTGACAATGTCAATCGACTCGTCTTCTTTGCTTATGAATTGCTTTTTAACATGCTTATTTTCAGTTAAATGTCAGCACCAATTTACTGGTTTCTTTTAGAAATAAAACAAAAGATTACAAGGTTATTGTGACAGCCTTCTGTCATGATTTCGCTTTTTCTTAAACGAAACCATTTACAGCTGTCATATTCTCAAGTCCAATTACACTAGAAATATTGTTTTTATTCATCCTTGATTAATTATACTAGAAAGACGTAATTGTAACCGAACAAAAGTAGTATATTTCACTAAACAAGAGTGTTTAATTCAATTTTTTTTTAATATTGTGTAAAATGAATGATGAAAAAGCAGATGATTATATTGATAGTATAGTTAAGAATATTTTGCATGTTGCTCCAGAACAAGTTGGTTTTTTATCTCACAAAAATGAAGAAGAGTCAATGAACGAGACTACGAAGGATATTAACGATATCGTTAGAAATTTTTTAAACGTTCAACCCATGCAGATTGTTCCTTTGTTAAAGGACGACAATAGTGCTAGATCAAGTCACTGTTCTCGCGAAGATCTGCAAAAAATTGATGGATTTACTCTAGAGCAGGTAAAGTCTTCATTTTTCTTGTACGATTGTAGCTTGCAAGGTTTCTCAAGTCTTTCGACATGTGTTAAAATGAAAATGTTTTTGAAAGGAAGATCAAACAAAATTTAAACTCGACTTACTATGAAAATTTTTATTTTTATTTTCGGTAACTACAAAAAAATACGATCTCGACCTAAATTGCGGTGTATATTAAAAATACTAAAATATGGCGATGAAAGTTTTTTGATTTCGCCTGTCTACATTCGTTAAATGTCGTCACAACAATGACCAAAATGGGGCAATTAAGATTTCTCAAAATTCTCACTCATTTCGGGAGCTACGGAACTCGGCATGGTTCCAGTTCGAAGCAAAATGTTATTGTTCAGGTGGTACACACCAGGATATCAAATGTCGAGCTCGAACAAAAGGAAAAATTTGACCAAAATTCATGAAAATCTCTTTAAGATTTTTCAGAGACCCTTAATTTTCTTATCTTTCGAGACAAAACTCAAAAATCTGTCTCTGCACCGTCAAAGCGACAACATTTATCTAGAAATTAAAGTCCTCCTAAGATTTTTAGTGCCTGAACTGGGTGAGCAATCTGGGAAACACGTAGGACATCGATGTTGAGATATGGGGGCGCTATGGTACGGTACTGATTTTGGAAAACTTAATAAAAGTGTTATAGCTAGGCTTGCACCAGTTCCAATCTTAGGCTTGGAGGATTGGTACCAGTTAGGCTTGAGTTTCAAAAAATATACGAAGTGCGAGACTTAGTTTTATATACCTACGTGACATATAAAATCTTTGACCACAAATACAGCACTCAGCAAAATAAAAACACTGAACCGTTTTTTGAGACCTGAAACTGGCATAAAAGTTCAACGTTTAGACGATTGTTTAATTTAGCAGAAATTCGAAATCAATAAAGCCAAATTAGTAGTAGATGTCGATACCGCAAAACCAGACTATAAAATGATGAGTCATCGGGTTGACGACACCAACTATAAGCCAAGCAATTTTCCATAGCCGCGGGTGGAAGTGAAGCTAATCTATTAATTAAATAATTTTAAAACTACGGCTAGTGGGCTAAAATAAATCTGGTCAACAGAAAAATAAGAACAAACTTCTGAGAGGGTGATCTTTTTGAAGTAAAAAAGAAGCACGAAAAAATTACTCTAAGCGCATGGTGCAATGACGGTTCCGTCTAAGGTTGTTGAAGTTTTTGCCTACTATATTCCACCTAGCCTAACTGGAGATTGGTGGGATTGGTATCCAGCCTAACTGATAGCAATCCTACCAATCTCCAGTCGGATTACATGCTTAATTATAGCTTTTGATGAATGTCCTGCTTAAAGTCAGGTAATGTCAAACCAAAAATATTTGCTGCACAAGCTAGCACCATTAAAACACTTTTTGATTCCAGGATTTTATTGAAATCTAAGGATTTCAGAAAAATCGTCGTTTTAGACTCTTCAGAAAATTGTAATATTGGCAATAATATTACAGATTCTAAAAGGTACGATGTGAGACTATCCAACTTTTATGAAAAAATTTATGAGATAAGAGAGAACCTAAAGTTTTATTATTGTTATTTATTCATACGGAACCTTTCACTGCTTTAGTCTACAATGGATCACTATCAAACTTTTTTTCTATTTAGTCAGCAATTTTCGATGAATCATTGGCACACTCAGTAGAATTAGAATTTATTATTAAGCAATGTGGAGAATTCGGCCGTTTTCAATGTACGCATTTTTTTTTATTAACACTGTTAGCCACCTGTAGTGGTGTAGCCTCATTCTATCATGTTTTTGGTACAGCTGTGCCACAACATCGCTGTCAATTACCACAACATTTGTGGGCTAATGATCAATTTCAAGTACATAATGAAACACATAAAAATTATATTGATCAATGGACACCAAAAGATGTATCTTCAAATTGTTTTACCTATAACGCATCATTCGAGAATAGATCTATTGTCAATTGTCATAAATGGCTATATGATCGGACAGTATACGGATATACATTTACCGAAGAACATAACTTGGTTTGTTCTAATTCAACGAAACGAACTTTATTAGCTGCTGCATTTTCATTTGGACTTATGTTTGTGATTATAACTGGTGGACTGGCTGATTGTTTTGGACGGAAGAAAGCAATCACACTTGTATTTTGCCTATTCGCTATAGTCTCCATTATCACACAAATAGCGCTTCAACTAAGAATATTAAAAGAAAAATATCAGTAAGTGTACATGTAGGGTACCTTGTAACCATATAGATTTCGAGTATCTATAGTTCCTAGAAGGAATGACGTAATACATAAATGGAAGTTTCTACACACGACATAGTATACAGCAGGGTACTAAATATTTAACTCCTTATCAAGGTTTCAGCTCATAAGGCTACGTTCATACCAAACATTTTTCAGAGTTAACTCACGAGGGAACCATCCGAGGTTATGAATCGATTTTGGGTTGGGACTATTTTTGTTAGAAAGGCGTAGGGAAATGTGGTCCTGAAATCCTAAACTGGTTCATCCCCATGGTGCTTTGTTGCTGAGATACTAAATTTTTAGTCAGTTTCTGTCTACAGAGCTTGGATTTCGAGCAAAATCCGACTTTCGACTTTTGATTTCAAACTTGCCACATTTGTAGCCCATGGCCATAGTAGTACGACTGGAAAATATTCGGTGCTAATGAGTTTCCTGTCTCGAGATATTGAGACTCGAATATTTCACCAGAAGTTAAGGGTGAGGGTCAAATATTAGAGACTCAATATCTCAAGACAGGAAAACTCATTAGCACCGAATATTTTCCAGTCGTACTACTATGGCCATGGGCTACAAATGTGGTAAATATTAAATCGCAAGTCGAAAGTCGGATTTTGCTCGAAATCCAAGCTCTGTAGACAGAAACTGACTAAAAATTTAGTATCTCAGCAACAAAGCGCCATGGGGATGAACCAAGTTAGGGTATTTCACTACTCGTTAGAGCTTCTCTAACAAAATTAGCCCCAATCCGAAATCGATTTATAACCTCGGGTGGTTCCTTGTCAAAGGTTGCGGCTTGCTAACAGCCGACCGGTTTGAATTTACGTTCTACAGTTGACTTTCTAAGCTCAAACAGAAAAATTGAGTACAGATGTTTGTTTCCGCACAGAACCGGCGCTACCGCCCTTGTCTAATGGAAGCATATTATTGGTTATGTATGATTGGAGAGTTAAAATTAAATGATGTTTCGGACATCATTTAACTCAGAGTTAACTTTTTGATCAATCAGTTTCGCTTTAACTCATTTAACTTTTGTAGTGTGAACGTAGTCTAAGCTTGCGCAAAAGTATTTTTGATATGTTTGACCAATAGCTGATATTTTCTATGACAAGTCTTGATGTATTCAGGTTCATTTTGTTATTCATGAATCAAATATTCACTGGAGTAGCATGTACCTATTTTATATGTGCGTATGTTTTAATCATGGAATTATCCAGTTTAAAATATTCAGGTCTGGGAGCATGTTTGTTCCTAGTTGGCAACATTGTTGGTGAAATTATTGTGACGTTCTTAGCTTGGGTAATTAAAGATTGGTTACTTCTCAAATGGTTTATTACCGGTTATATTCTTCTTCTTTCATTATCCTACGTATATTTTATTCCTGAATCCCCACGATGGTTATATAGCCAACAAAATTGGTCTGAATTAGAATCACTTTTAAGTCGTATAGCAAAAACGAATGGACGAAAAAATGAAACATGGTTACCATTGTATCCTACAGTTGTCACGGCTAGAAAGCTCTTCAGTTCTAATACATTTGCTGATGAACAAACAACATCGTGCATGAAACAATCTTATCCATTACTGACAACACGTGATGCTATTAAGCGTTTATGTATCTGTTCCTTTATAAGTTTTGTAACAGTATTATTATATTTTAAAACCAGTTCTAATCTATTGATCTTGAAGATGAATCCATATCTGTCCATTATTATAGGAGCGCTCGTAGAAGCTCTAGGTTATATAATCAGTTTCTATTTAATAAGAAAAATTAGCAGAAAATCGATATTAATCTTTTTTTTATCATTGGCGGCTCTATGTATGATAATTGCACTGCATACCAACCATCAATGGAGCATGTTTCTATTAACACAATGTGCAAAATTATCTGTAGCAGCAGTTGTCTACAATTATTTGGTAAGTCAATAATATAATCATTTTTCAACAACAAACACTCATCTGAAAAGGTTTGACATCTAGTAGTAATCTGGGCATAACTATTCTTTTTCATATATGTATCGATTTTGTCGGATTGTATTTTATATTTGACACTCTTAAAGATGAATGTCTCTGCTTATTTTTATTATTTGTTGTAGGTTTGGACATCTAGTAGTTATTCATTTAGGAAGAATATAACATTCTTGTTCACAATAATGCCCCTTTCGGTTGAATATACGTCCTTGCTTAATCAGACAGCTTAGATGTACTACAGATGAATTGCACCCGACAATGTTCCGTGTTACTAGTCTAGCGATTGTTGAATTTATGAGTCGAGCTGGTACATTAATAGCGCCAATTATTGACAAAACAAATAGTTCAACTAATCAACGCATGCTAGTGTATATCTATGCAACGGCTACGGTTATAGCAGCTATTTTTGCTTTTACGTTACCAGAAACAAAAGGAAAGCCGTTACCCGGATCATTTGACGAAATTCAAGGATGGAAAACGAAAAAATTGCTTCAAGCTTTTTATTAATCTTTACAAGAGTACTCTCCTTTTCATTGCTTGTCTTGTTATATAGTTTTAGCGACTGATTAGAGACAGCCAACATTTTTACTAGAATATCTTCTCAAAAAATAAAGAGACACATTTTTTACACAGACCTTCAAACTCATGCTTTGCTATCTTTTAAAAAAAACAGTTTTTCATTGTGTAACGCATCGACCACATCAAAATCTATCTACTCAAATTCAGATTTTCACCATAGATATTGGATGTCAAGACGTTCACATGCTTTTCGATTTTAATTCTGAAGATGTAACGTTGAGGATTTGTAAGAAAATTTCGTAGCCGACCAGTTATTTTATATAGACTTCCAGCATACAATCGCTCTTACTATGAAGAAAACGCTTATTTAGAGCTTTTAACCAAATTCTAATAACTTTCGAAGAAAAAACGTCGTGAAGAACAGAAGATGTCTCATTTCGAAGAAAACTCTTCAGCTTACAAGATCTACTATTTTCTGTTTATAAAAAATTTTATGGTTATGCAAGAAGAAGTTTTCGGAAGTTAAAAATAGAGAGCTTTTTCCAACTTAAAGTACAAGATATATCAGATTCATATTTTGCTAACGAAAACTCGCTAGGAGCTGAAAGTGAATTGAATTAGTACAGGATGCTTCTTCTTATACATTATATGTAACTCAATAGCCGATTTTTTTGTAGCAGAAAGCTCTTAAGAATTTCGAGGTAATCAAGCTGCAGACCCGATCAAAAGGCTAATGCTCGAACTTAGGGCAGCAAAGCAAAGTTAACAGAAAGACCGATGTCGGCTGCGAAGCGATTTCATTTCACGCCCTGAGAAGAAAAGATGATTTTTATCGTGCTCATCGAAAAGATATCAAAAATTTCAACAGGTTTAACATTGTCAACTCGATCGGCTGAAATTTAAGGGGGGTCGTAATGAGATCCAATGAAAAACCGAGTTTTCTGTAGAACTCGTGATGGACAATAATTAAAAATTTGAAACAAAAACGAAAAAGTGCTCCATTGAGTTTCCAATCAGTTCTGAAAATATGAAGACTTAGTGAGTTTTAGTTTTTATTTCACAGCATTTCTACGGAAAGCTAATCAATTTTCAGCGAGCAGGTACCGACTGATCATAATTAATCCATTGGGTAATTCAACAGGTTCAACAAAATATCAAAAATTTCAACAGGTTTAACATTGTCAACTGAAAATGAGCTCGGTTAGGAACAAAAATACGTTGTGCGACCAACATCTAAACTGTTATTGTTCATATCAAAAATAACTATTTCAACAAAATGGTGATACATGCTAATTCTAGTAGTACTCATTGTAAAACTCATTTTTGTAAAGTAAAAGTAGTTCATCTTGTAGAAAAATCTTTACTCTTCAAAACAGTTGAAAAATCAAACTCTCGAGCTCTTAAAAAATTCATTTTACATGAAAACGTCTGAGTTCATTCAAATTTTCAAAATCTTTACTTTTTTTCTTTGTAGAAATGTAATATCTCCGGCATTTTTGACCTGCCAGAGTTTAATAACTTGAATATATGAATAACTGTGAACGATCTGCTTGATACACGTATAAACAAGCCATGTTACTTTTTGACTGAACAATCGACGTTCTCAATGACATTGATAATCTTAGTGATTTTTTTAGTTGTATTAGAAACTGAATATGTTGGCAATCAATAAAGACGGTATTTTTTCCGAAAATCACTTCTGATAATCACCAGAACTATCGAAGATGTTAAAAGCGTATTTTTAGATCCATAGATTTGATGTTTCGAGGAATTTCTTAAAGTCCACCGAAAAACTCATTTACTTTTTCTTTCAAAACTTGTCAAATGCCTACATTTGTTCAGATTTTTGAGCTATAGCCCCGCTGCTTTGTTCAGAAATCTTTTATTAGTAATGCTATCTGAGATATCGGAATTGTACAAAAAGGTAAGTCTCAAGATCTTAAGATTTAATTTAGAAATCAGTGGTGTTGCTTTGACAGTTTTTTTGAAAATCGCAAGTCTCTATCTTTTATTCCTTCGACTACATAACTATTTATTCCTCCACTAAAGGGCCCCTCCTCAGAAATTATCTCCGACATCGTACATCTGATCTTGACGAAACTTTCAATAAATGTTCGGCTTAATAAGTTACGGAAAAGAACAAACAAAGAAAAAAAAGTTGTTTCGTCTCAAAATCAAGAGGAGAATTGTGTCCACTCGACGCTTAACAGGTGGTCAATTCAAAACACTGCACTGGTTTTTATTTCTTCCAAAAGTTTAAAACTGTTACAAATGATTACAGAAAACTACTTTGCTGTCTTTCTATTATCTTGTTCAGGTACAGTCAACTTCATTACTTTCTGTATCAATGTTGCCAATTGTTCATGTCTTTCCATACGAAATTCTAAACTTTCCAATAACATATAGCATTGTTTCATTATCTTCTGAATTTTCAGCACATTGATACTGTCTATACTCTTGTGACTCTTCCAACTATATACCTCCTCCTCTTCTTCGGTGCATCTGATCTCTGCACCATGTCGTGATGAGTGTGTTGTTTGTGTCTGAGTCTGTGGTTGTACAAAGGACTGTAAATTATCCTGTTTAGACTCATCTAACAACAACTCTAAATTTGCTTCCGTCCTCTCACTACATTCATCTTTTACCTTTGCATTGAAACTATGACGACTATTACCCAATGTCTGTTGAAAACTGTCTACTAAAACAACCATCAATAAATTGAGTAAAATAAAACTGATGATAAAGGTATAACAGAGGCAAAAGATCAATTGAAATGATGCCCATTGAAGATGTTTGCAGATGTCATCTACTGAATAAGAGAGAAGAGAACAGCAAAAAGAGGATACAAGAAGAAGACAAGTGAAGAAATGAGAAAAAAGATTCCGACACAGTTATGATATAACGAAGTCATACGCTAGTCTTTTCTTGAAAAAACCTTTCTGTTTGGATATGACAGTCTTTTTTGGGAATAGATACATGGCAATGAATTTTAAAAACGCCTTCCTCGCCTTTAAACGAAAAACCACACGCCACAGATCAGAGAAGCGGATCAGTTTGGGATATCAGGAAATGGTAAAAACTTCTATTGTGCTCAGCTCCGGTAGAGTTCTATGAAAGGATTTTGAATAGCGATATAATAATAAGTGGCCTCAACAAATAGCTTTTGAAATGACTCTTTTCATATCGATCCATTTAGTTTCTCAGTACAAAAAGGTGTTTAACGAATTTTTATTTTGAACGACTGAAACTGCATTAAAATCAGTTAAAGCAAAGACTTTGTTATTTCGACTTTGTGGCTACGGTTTCTTTCCAGACACACACCACACATCTCAATCCGGATAAACTCATCGAAATTTTTATTTCCGACGGAAATAGCACGAAGTAAATGCCTAGCCAAAACAACTTTAGTGGGCAAAAGGACGGACTTCTGCCTTTTTTTATTAACACTTCACTTGATGTAATCACTATTTCTATATGAATCGATTTGTGGTAGAGGAATAACTAATTATGTAGTCGAAAAGTTTTTGTGTATTAACTTAAACTGCGAGCTGAAGACCGAATATACAGAGATGGATTTATATACTTTTGATAATTCATCCATAAATTCTCTATTCCTTCTTTGAATTCAAAAGTTGTAATTTTTACTTTCATCTCAGAGATATGATAAAGAGCCTCTTTTTAAGAAAATACATTAGCCTACAAATTCTGAAAGTGAAAGACTTGATCCATTGGATTTCGTGCAGTTTATTGGACTAGTTGTTGAATGATAGTCGAATTACTGTTAAAATGCATTGAACGTCTATAATATAATTCACTTCATATTTCACGATCCTTAAATGTCGCATCAAAGTTATTTATTTACGTATAAAGTAGGGTAATTCTGGACAGGTCCGCCCACTTTATACACGACTGAAAGCTGGAAAGGTTTGACTATATGAGTTCCGTGGAGCTATTAAAAGTATGTAAAAGCACATAGTCATTCGCTGGAAATGTTAGAATAAGGATAAGATAAATAGAGCATAAGAACATTTTATACAGTAGAAAGGAAAGTCAGAATAATCTGAAGACTTTTGGCACTGTCTCAGTTGACGAAAAAATGTCTGATGAACAGCTCTGTATAGACTGCCCAAGCATGAAATTTCATAAGAAATAAGCTAGCTGCACTTGCTGACGAAGCGCCCGCTTCTCCATTGACTGCAGCTAGCTAAAAGAGTAAAATTTAGCGGGTGCAGCTAGCTGCAGCGGGACAAACCCGCTAACCCGCTTCAATACTAGCTGCAGCGGGTAAGAAATTTTACC